TGGAGATAAACATTGATCCTTCAAATACAGTGAAATAACACTCGCACTTTCGCCATTATTTAAATTATTTTTTGTTGCAAGCTCGACTCTTGTAGTGATAAGAGTGCGTGGGGTGTAGATTGTGGTGGCTCATGAGTGGAGGTCACTCACTCAGCAGATGCATTCGCAAACAGAAGTAATCCGCCCTGTGATTTCCAGGAACACTTCAATGGATTCTTACAGTGACTATTTATACCACGTGCAATAACGCTCCTGTAATACTTGCTGTATTATGATGGTGCAAGTAGTGCAACGTACTTCATTCACTAGCAGTCGTTGAACCCACGCACTTTGATTTTTAAAGTACTCGATGCAACTGATTCATAAATTAATTGAAGTAATAAATGAACATTCCTTTAACTATTAGGGCCACACTTTCCTTATTGATTCGTTTAAATACTTAATGAAGCTGTCAAGGAGTGTAAATACATTACTCAATGTAGGCTGAGCTTTATTGCTCCAAAACAAAGCAATTTTTGTCCCACGTAGGCCGCGAGCAATGTAATAATTAACTTCGCGACTCGAATACTAATTAATTATTCGTTGTTTCACTAAGATGTTCAAATTAAAGTTGCGACGAAACACGATACAGGGCTTAATAAGAAACACTATCACCCGCAGAAATAAAATTATTTGGAGCCATTTTACGAGCATCACTTCCGCTAACCAACCGATACGTACGTATGACAGATATAATTAAAAAATAAAAAATCACAAAGATCACTGAAGATGGGGATGATCCAGAAATACTGGCAGCACATAAATCACTCACACGTCTAACACATCGTCGTGATAAGCGTCCTCTACTTGGTATCCTCTGTCGTCCTGATAGCAGAGTACCAGGGAGGCAGGCCAGAGCAGAAGTAATGCGGCACAGGCCGCGGGTGTGAGCGGCGCGCGCATCGCGACTGCGGGTGCGCGCGCGCTTCGGATATGCGTTTGAGCAGTGATAGCCAAAGTTATAGTTGTACAATATGTTTGCATACGCAGCTTCCTATAACTGGCTATCATCATCAACGAAATTTTCTCTTTCGCTGACTAATTCACAACTCGGCTGAATATAGGTAATGGTTTTGCATATCTTAAGTAACTGAGAAGTACCTAAGTATCTTTACAAAGTAAATATGTTCTCATCAGGTTAACAAATTGTACCAAATGCTAAAGATTTAATCTCTGTAGTCAGTGACAAATTAAGTTAAAGTTATTTTGAGAAAATCCCTTTTGAAATGTTTCAGAATTGTTCATTTTAATTTATTCATTTGTGAAAAAATGTCAAGCTGAAAATAGATATTATCTATGCAAGTATAAACTGTTGTGACGTTGAAGCTAGTTTTAAAATAGCTGCCAGACGTTCTGATCTCCGGGGATTGCATTTTTTGCAACAGTTATTTTGTTAATGCTTGCATTTTATTTTGGTCTTTTATTAGATGATTAAGATTGTCTGAGAACATCGTATACAATACAATATTAATTGAAACAATATTGTAAAATTGTTTTTTTTTTCATAGCCGGCTTAAAATGGTTTTGTATTAGCTACAATTTATATGAATCTTTACTCTGTCATTCGCAGTAATATCAGCGGATTTTTAACGTACAAGGAAGTGTTATTTGAAACAAAGTTTGAGCACCGATGTACTAGTAGTTGGTAATAGTCCCGAAATAGCCTCCAGTGCGTGTAGGGTGGATATAACGCGGATGTACCGCGTACAAGTATTTTGGCCGTCACGGACGATTCCTGAGTTATTGTTAGTATGCCTATCGGACTCGGATTTAGTAGGAAATCTTTTGCGTATTGAGTTAGATACTATGTTTAGACGTAGGATTCTACTTAGTTAATCACGGGCAGACATCCAAAGTAGCTAAATATGAGCGAATTTTAAATTCGATGTCTATTTTAGGACTTAACAAACTGGTTCCTTGAAGAGCACTTTCAACTGACATTATTCTATGTGAGAAAACCGTTATTAATGATTTTATGCAACGCTCTACCATTTTTGGAAGTGAAGGAATTACCTATAGACCAATTGGTGGTCTTTGGAGATAGTACAGCAGTTAGTCGTATAGTCAAGGTGGATTATTTCTGTAACAGGTTCAGAAAGATTATTTGTCAAAAGTTAACTAATTAGTAATTCCTGTAAAGGCGGTACAAAGAAATCTCCTTTTACTAAAAATATTCACGAAAAAATCGTGGTCACATCAGTTTATCTGAAAGCATTTGTTTACGGTAACGTGCGCGGCCGCAGACAGTCGACGCCTCACGGCCACGATCCATCGATCCACTGACACACTGCCGGTTGTGCAATAAACACATATCCATTTGTTTATAATACCCTGGTACTTCAAGCCTATCCGTATTGATTTTTCTAATTTGATTGATAGGCCGTTCAAATGGATTTAAAAGTTTAAAAGCATGGAAGGACAAACATACAATCCATAAAGTAAATGTGTTTATTTATAAATCAGCCAAGTTGGAGATCTAAAGATCTGTGGATTATTGTTTATTCTTATAAACTATATTAGTTACTAAAGAGCAAGGAAACACAATTTCAAACCTTCCTGTCCGCCTCGTGGACAAAGGCATAAATAAACTAATGATAATCCTTAGTCAGTAATGACTGGACTAGCGAAACAAGTGATTAATAAATCGATGACAAAGGTGTCATCATAACCCAAGGGAGCTTACCACATCGGGGAATAATGGTGTGATTGACTGTGGGTTGAATAACTAACTGCTAAACATTTCTATTCTTTTTCTGCGAAGAGTTCTCCTTCGATTGAAGATTAGTGGGATTTTCAGTAGCATTCTTTTTTTATGGGATAAGCCGGTAAACGAGCAGACGGATCACCTGATGGTAAGCAATCGGCGTCGCTCATGGATACCCGAAATACCAGAGGCGTTACAAGTGCGGTACCAGCCTTTTGGGGATTAGGAATTTTAGGATGAGGGAGGGTTAATCTGGCCTCCGGTAACCTCACTCAACTTCACCGTGGCCGTGGTGTGACTCCGGTCTCCGGAAGAATGGTTCCCTCACAGTTCAAAAGCATTAAAAAGCCTAATGTTTGTTTATTTACATCATTGATCTATCTGTATATAAATAAATGGCTCATGACGTCACAATTGAAACAGTAGCGTGGGACAAATGGTCCTCTCACTCCGCCGCACTCCTCGGAGTAATGACAAGGGATTAGTGTTTCACTGCCTACTCCCATCATAAAACACTTCATTTGCAACCTCGTTATGTCCATAATTGATGTCTTAGCGGTTGACAGCTATTTCTGTTACATGAATTTTGTTGTGACGTTAAATCAATCTTGTTTCAGTACCGAAGTACCCACATACTTGAACATTTTTTTTCTAAATTTTCAGCATGTAAAGCTAATAGGGTACTACATAGTACATAACACTGTCTGTCTACCCCATCTCATAGTTTTTATTACATAAAGCTAAAGAGTTTGTATGTTTGAACGCGTTAATCTCAGGAACCACTGGTCCGATTTGAAAAATTGTTTTTGTATTGTATAGCCCACTAGCGACCCGCCCCGGCTTCACACGCGTGCAATATGCATGTATTATACATATAAAAATTCCTTAAGAATCACTCTATCTATTAAAAAAAACGCATCAAAATCTGTTGCGTAGTTTTAAAGATCTAAGCATACATAGGGACAGACAGACGGCGGATAGCGACTTTGTTTCATACTATGTAGTAATTGATCAAGGAAGGCTATAGGCTGTAAAAAATCAAGTTAATATTAATAGGCACCCAGCAGGCCGGGTGAAGCCGCATGAAAGTAGGTAGTTTTAAGATATTGAGTAAGACCTTGCTTTAGTTGACCGTCGGTACAAAGTATAGAATTTAGTTCTAAGTTTTTTTTATTAAAACTGTAATAATAAAAGTCGTTTGTTTTTGTAGTATTCGATTCGTTATCAGCAGAATTGTCACCTGTCTTCGTTTTGGTTAGCGGTCTTTTTACACCCTGTATGTACCTAGTATTTACATCAATATCAACATCCATGACTGTCCACAACTGGAGTATGAGCTCCTTCTACGTAAGAGGGTTTGCCATAATCTTCAAACTTGGCAAGCGGGAGATAGCGTAGTTTATAAGGTTCAGACGCTTCTGCCCATCCTATTGAATACAATTTATCTACCTATGTTAGGAAAAACGACGAACTATGATTAATCAATTAAACCTGTCAGATTGCTACACTTTTTGTTTAAAAATATCGGCTAACGCGCTCAATACTCTATTTAATTAAATGAATATTGAAGCTAGATAGAAACAGTGCAAATATTACAATGCCAGTTATCTCTGCTGTGTGTTTAGTGGCTACTGTTATAATAACTGAAACGTGGTATTATCGACTAAAAACATAGTTTTGTTAGAGTATGAAATTTTTAATTTAGTATGACTAAAACAACTAGGTATTTTAATTTGTTCTCCAATATTGTTTAAATGTGTCCTCTACAAGTGTAATGTAAAACAGGTGTAAAATAAGTAAATGCTACAACATTTATTTATGTGCACTGTTTATTGTGCCACAATGTTGTATAAATTCATAAATGACACTGGAGAAAAACCTAGTGTGATGACATGTGTTTTTTAATAAAAATAAACTTATTCCTTTGTCTAATGGAGACTACCTTATCCATGATCCTTTATTTAATTTCTAATTACCTATATTAAGTCAAAGTCAAACTATCTTAATTAATATACTTATTGATGATGAAAGCTATAAATCGTTATTGCTATAGAAAAAAAAATATACCGACAAAAGCGCGCGAAAGCACAGTCGCACAAAACAGTCGAGTATACCGGCCGGTTGGAGGCGCGCCGCTTGGGAAAAATCACACTTTTCCTCTCTTGTTGTCTGCCGGCCTTTAGTACTTGTTTGGACACCGACCTCGCTCCAACTCCCATCACTCAATATTCATAAATACATAACAACATAATAATAAATGACGCTTTTAACACTTCTAATCGCCAGTTTATTTACCTCAGTTTTGTCGTGGTACCATAATGAACCGAGTTTTTGGGTACCAGGGCAGTATGGGTACCAAGGAGTGCATAATGGTTTGGAGCATGCGAGAGAGTTTGTTAACGAGTGGACTGTGGAAGTGGAAGGTGGTGAAGAAGTAGCTCAGCTGGTGGCTCTGGAGCTTGGATACGTTTTTGGAGGGAAGGTAGGTTTGTTAAGTTAGTAGTGTTATCTAATGAAGCTATCATTAGTTAAAACAACTGTTGATAATTTTTAAAAAGTATTCCTGCACTTTACTATTTTAGAGTCAATTGAAAATGAAATTCGTCATGGATTTTTTTTAAGTTGTGTGTTAAGTCAGTTGGGTACCAACTTATGATTAAAACATCATTTGATTCGTAAGCATAAGCAGCGTGGGAAGAGATTTGTTACTTGACGTTTGAGACTAGACGATTAAATTGTTAAGTTTTTTTACATTGAAACTTCAATTACTTAGAATGTCATGTGGAAGTGCGGAGTCTCCTAGCACAAGCAATCCATTGTTTAAAAGGTGATCTCCAATAATTTTATGTAATGTCTGTTGTAATTGAAATAAACTTTTTTTTTATTTATATATGAAAAATGATATTTCTGCAAATAGGCTACAAGGCAGCACTTTTAAACGTCAATTTTATCAAGCGAACGATGAGGCATTTCCTGACTGACTACTCTGAGAAGAAATGCCGAAACAAACTCAGAGGTCCGTCTCTTTTAAAGACCAGACATTAATATGTATAATAGATTATGTGTGAGAATATAATTGTTATTTAATTTTGGTTTATATTTGAATGAATTTGTCAGTCATATACAGGGACTAAAATACTCTCTTAACTAAACAATAGAACGCTTGCGTTGTGTTTCGTCGTGTGAGTGAGGTTACCGGAGGCCCAAATTATCCCAATCCAATTCCTGAATCCCAACAATCCACAAATTCCAAGGGCCGGTAACGCACTTGTAACGCCTCTGATGTTCCAGATGTCTATACGCGACGCCGATTGCTTACCATCAGGTAATCCGTCTGCTCGATTACAGGGTTATCCCATAAAAAAGTATCTAGATCTTTTTTAATAACAACATATGCCTACCTGATTCCCAGTGCTGGATAATCTGGATACCACGAAGCACGTAGGAAGAGTAGTGAGTGTGTATTTGTTAAGCTATGAGCTTCTTAATCAATTATCCAAAATCCAATCCAACTTACTCTAATTTTTTCCTTGTATTTAGTAACGATTTCCATTCTAACGAGAAGTGGTAAGTAAGGATGCATGGTTAAATACTCCTATACGAGGGTACATAAGATTTTATGGGAGCTCCTTGAAGAGATGTTCATTGTTGTTTTAGTTAATTAGAAGATGCCTGAGGAATAGATAAAGTGAATGTGAATTCTTGTAAGATAAATTAACTTTGCAACGTTTTTTTTACGGCGAGTAAATCATCGAATGACTTCTCCCGCCTGAGTGAGGCGAAAAGGAGTGTCTGACTCTTTCTGACTAAAAACCACCCTGTTCCTACTCCTGCACTTTGAGACGGAGCCCCGGCAACCGTTTACGTTAAAGTTGCTGTATTAACAAATGCTTGATTATACATCTAATCATGAATCATTCACTCGCCGCCCGACCAAAACCAAACCCAAGCGTACGGCGTACGTCAAAGAGCAATCTGACCACCACGTATGAGGCCCAATAGGGCTGATGCCGATACGGAGCCGTGTAGGACTTAACGGGTTACCAAGGCTCCGGTTCAAAGGGCAGGAGTAGGAACGGGGTGGTTTGTAATCAGTAAAAGTCACTCCCTCCCGCAAAAGTCATTCGATGATATTCCCCCTTAAAAAAAACATGAATCATCATCAGCCCACAGATGATAGCCCACTGCTGCTACACGGAATATGGGCCTTCTCTACTAATGATAGGATTTGTATCTATCTTATGTAAAAATTAAAGATAAACTTTCTATTTTACACGGAGGAAGCCGGTTGTCCGAAAACCAATAGTTACCTATAAAATATTCTGAATTTTCCAAACATTGTTTAACTAGGTAGTCACGGGATGTTAAATTGAAAAAATATAATAGACAGGTTGGCAAATTCAACATTCGGATCCCGTTCCCTTTCGTGAAAAACACATATTTTCACTGTGAAACAATTATAAAATTAATTTTGAAATAATCTCCCGTCCGAGGTCTGTTTGTTGATTTTAATTAAAAGCCTTTTGTAATTTTGATTTCGTTACTAAAAATGGGTTACCAGCCAGTTACATTGGAACAATTTACTTGGGTTTCAAATACTAAGTAGATACCTAATAAATACTATTTTTAGATACTATTCTATGTAGACAGACATGAAACATTTTTAAGTGTCCATTAATATTTCGTACTCAATTCTAATATATGATTTCTTATTTATTTACAGGTATGTTCATAGTACATAGTATATGTGTATATTATGATGTGATGTTGTATGTAGGTTATTACTATAATTTAGGCACATGCCACAACCCTATGAAAACAATCCAAACCAATACGAATTTTAAAAGAACCTTATTTATTGAAGTATCACTTGAAAGTGTTAGGTATCTCCTTTTCTAAACCATTCGGTTGAATAGTTTTTTAAAGTCCGTACAGTATTTGAGTCAAAGTGAATTTCTATCTGTTCTCTTTTTGTGGGTATTATTAACCGTCTAATGCACATAGGTAGTCAATTTAAAATTGCACAATAACACCGCAATATGTCACTAAGTAATGTATTTCGCTCCCAAAAACTCCACTTTAATAAAGTTTGTTGTGTATGTGCTCGAGATAAAGCTGAAATCAAAGCTATGACGCCCTGATAACTGAAGTGGCACTCACTGATACCAGCCTCAGTATATTGCATAGATTACACTTCATATATCATGAGTATCATGACTGACGTCACTCACAGTAATTAATCAACGGTATTAGGGCTGCATGAATTGTAAAAAGTGTTGGAATTGCTTTTGTCAATAATGAGTGTACTTTTTGATCGTCTATCACTCTATCAATACTTGTTCAGCAATTTTAGCTAACATATTACCTTCCATATTGTGCTACTAGCCTGGTAGATCCTTATTGATTGGCAACCTATCTTGTTTAGGTGATACGTCTAATTTAACAACCGCCATTACGTCTATAGAAGACGTCCCATTTCTAAGAATGTATGAATGAATGTCAAGGTCCAAACCTTGGAAGTATTTGAAAAGCTTTTCAAATATGATTATATATTTTGTTATAATTATACCTATATATTTTTGTTAAAAATAGGTACAACAAATAGGTTGGCAACTCATAATAACCTAGAAAAGTATCCCTATTTCCCTTGGTCACGGCATCACGCATGAACGGGTGGACTAATTGCTAATTATTTTTGTATTTATTGTCTACTGACAATAATACCTTCTACTGAAGGTATGTACCGAAGAAAGAAATTTACACTAAGAATATTAGTAAATATGAAGATGAACTGGAAACATGTGCTTCTAGATTCTCTGAGGCCCGATTAAAATTCAACTGTTTTTATCAATCATATTTCTTTACAACAACTATTTTTTTACTAAGGCAACATAAACAAACTGGTAGAGCACGCGTTACTTATACTTAGCCTTTTCTTAATACTCGTAAAAGCTGAAAGTATTTGGGTCTGTTCATAGTTGTGACGAAGTGACGGGAACTCGGTCCCATGGGAAATGCGGTCATCAACACGCTTGACAGACAGTTTGGAGATTGCACTACAATGTTATTAGTACGCAGATGGTTCGCGTAATATCTTCATATACAGGGAGATTATCAAAGATGTTTTGGTAACTTCTAGAAAGAAGAATTATTTAAATTCTAAAAAAATTCAATGTAATTTAAAGTACAATAACATACAAAGATTAGTTAAATAGGGATCTTTAAAATGTATATCTCGTTCCAAATTTAGTCAAATACCTTAATTCTGGTATAGCTCGAAGCTCTAAGTTAGCTGAAGAACAGAGAAAAGCAAACTGAAGGAGTGTAGTAAAGACGGACATCCTTAAATAACTATTTAGCGTTCGTGATATTTATTATTAGAATAAAATAGAACTAGTTAACCGTACCATTGAGTTAGAAAACTGTATGTTACTATTCTATTCAAAACATAGATTCGTTTTTTAAATGATCTTTGTTTGTTTCTCATCCTGTATCTTCACGTACGGGCTTTTATGACACCAAATGACACGTGTGACGTAGTTATGGAGTTCAGGGATAGTATACCTACATGAAGATCCATTAAGGAAGTTGTAAGTAGCTTTGTTTAATAAAACTACTCGACTGAAGTTTGTTACGAAGAGACGTAGACACATGCATGGTAGAGAACCTTATTTCTGTATCAATGAAACTAGAAAAAGCTGAACATGAGTATATCCAAGGAGGATTTTCCATAATGCTGACGCTTGACTGCTTGGTGACGGCATGGCGAAAATTTTGAGGAAGCTGCTGATCTCTATGGAACACGATGACTGGTCACTGTTCTAAGACGTAGGGACCTACTCGATTATTTTATATTATGTCAAGATCCACCTACATACTTGTCAATTTAATTGCACTAATTTTCTGTCCTCATAAAACCCACGCCTCTAACCTTAGTGCTGATTTCCATAACTATCTAAGTGCCTACTGCTAAATCCGTCTGTGACGTCAATGTTAATTTAAATGACGTATTTACTGGTCACAAAACAACTGTTCAAAAGTGGGTGTTATTTTGTGTATGTGCAATTATTGTGCCTCTCTATCCACGCCTTGGATCTCATCCCTATCATCATCACCAACAGTCTATTGGTGTTCACAGTTGTCCAAAGACCTCTTCTTACACGGAGCAGGTATGAGTACTATCACTACATAGGTTATAAAAATAGCTTTCCGCTTCTATCTGTTTGACCCTTTTTTTTAAGTGGTTAAATCATCGAATGACTATTCCCGCCTGGGTAAGGCGGGAGGGAGTGTCAGACACTTACTGACTAAAAACCACCCCGTTCCTTCTCCTGCACGTCGAACCGGAGCCCCGGTAACCCGTTAGGTTCTCTGCGACTCCGAATCTGCATCGGCCCTGTTGGGCCCCATCTGTGGTGGTCTGATGGCTCTTTGAGGCGTGTGCGGAACGCGACGCGTCGTACGCTCGGGTCTGTTTCTGGT